TTTACCTCGACTTGAGACCAACTCGAGTTGCAACCAGAGTCACGGAACGGATTAAGTTCGTATCCCGAGGTACCACTGTAAATAGAATTTAGAAGATTGGCAACAATACAGGTAAATGGATAAACCTTTGTTTCATGGATAATCTATTAGAATTGGGCTTGTTTCTCTACTAAAGTTTTACTCATATAGTCTCTGAAGTGTGCCTTTATTCAAAAAAATATGAGAAAGAAGTAGATAAATATGAAGGCAGTGAAAAGGGGCAGATGATTTTTTTGCCAATCCAGATATCAATGGAAACAGAATTTGGGAGGTTTACATCTCTTCTTTGAAGCAAGCATTTACACATCTCTGAAATGTCCAAAACCTTCAACAATTTTCAAAGCCATTTGAATTTAGTAGTCTATATGAAGCTAGTTTAAAGATGTAGGAGACTTTTTTTTAATGGCAGAAGGTATACTTTTTTTTTTTCCAAATAACTGACATATGTAACTTGGCAACTTAATTGTTCAGCCTTGATTGTAAATATTTTATAGACAAACACCATGGTGTGTTATGAAAACTACTGATTTATTCAGCAGTGTCTGCAGGGGAGGCAAGGTATGATTGTTCTCTCCCCCTCCCTCTTCTATGTGTGTGGATGTCGCATGGAGGGCACAGGACTACGATCACGCTGCCATTGTGCCCCCTCCCCGGATGCTGCTGGATTTACTCCTTCAAATGTTTTCAGTATAAACAGCCTAGTGTTCAACAACGAAATTCAACCTGTTTAAATGGAAGTGCTGTTTTTTTTCTGGAAAAATTTCAGCCCCCACATCGTAGCAATTTTGGTAGTGGGACCTACACTTTTCAATACTCCAAATGTGATCTGTTATGAAGATTCTTCTCTATAATAGCTTTCCAACTGACTTGAGCTCCCAAGGTCAGCTATAGGGCAAAATGTGCATCTCTAAGTCAAAATAATGTTTCCTAAGGAAAATTGTTCAGTTGAAATGGAGCAAAAACAAATGTTATATGAACCTATTTAATTCACTGAATTTATGCATGAACTGGAATATACTTGCATGTTAACATCTTCAATATTCAAAATTTTGCAACACAACTAAAAAAAGGAGCTATAATGTATGTTTCATAGGAACATGTTCACAAAAAGGTATATAACAAGACAAATATACATTAAATGCCTAATATTAAGAAAAAAATATTGCAAAGCGTATATACACTATATTTATATGTAACATTTTTGTGCTTCTTTTATTTTGGGTAAATTCACAAACTATGGATTTTCCTTAGTGAAGAGAGATGGTTGATTCCATCCTGGATGCTTGTAAAACATTTGCTCTCTCTTTTATTTCATCTGAAAGAGTTTCATGGTACTTGCTGCTATTAGAAACTAGCAATTATAGTTTATTGTAATTGGATAATGATCTTCTTAAATTAACCAGTGTTATAGCCTAACTCATTATGGGAAGACAACAATTCTGAAACAAAGCAATACATGTATTAAATAATTCAAAATAAACTGATGCCAAATGAACTTCTAACCAGATAAATCAGCGGCTAGCTTTGTTCAACCTTGAAATTGATATTTTGTCAATATCAATATTCATCTATCACTTACATTTAACAAATGGCCTCCGTATAATTTGCTGTTCAAGTCTATATCCTTGTAATGTGGAATGGAAGTACTTATTCAAAATATCTTTAGAATTACAGGATTAAATATTTAAATATTCCTGTGCATTACTGACATAATACAGTACTGTCATTTTCTTTGAACTCCTTTTTCTGGCTGATAGTTGGTTCATGTCTTTATAAGGTAAGTTGCTGAAACAAGGGCTGTATTTGCATTTTGGGAAGATCAGTTCTACATTTTCTAAAATGGCAGAAACCTGGGAAATTAAAGGGACTCTAAAACTATACAGCCAATATATCCTGTATACTTGGCAAAGAATAGAAAAGATCTCCTACAGAAGCGAGAATATGAAACAACATAAAATTGGATGTTTTTCATTATTGTGATCCACACAGTACTTACGAATGTATGCAATTCAACTTAATTTTGATGTGTTTCATGCTATGCCTTATTCAAACTGAAATCTAAATAAATATACATCAGAGTATATGTGATATATGATAAACAGCACCACATCCTGAGAAGCAACTATATGACTTCTTGACACTTTAGTAAT